TTTGCCGAAATCCGCCGGTTAATCCGACGGAAAGTCCCAAGCGAGAGTTGCAGCTCAAGATGCATAGTTGCAATTGCAAGTCTAAGTCGTCAGCGTGTACAAAGAACCTCGTCCGTGCCGGAAACAAGAGCCTCTCTCGCATAACGTCCATCGGCCAATCCGAGCGGGTGTCGAGATTAGGTTCAACCGAGATCACAGGGACGAGACGACGCGGCGGGGGGAGCGGGCCGGGGAAATTTCGGCTGATTATTTCATCAAGCGATGCGGCCGCTGTTCATTACGCTTGAGGAAGGGGCTGCGCGCGCCTTCGCATTATCAGATCCCCGAAATTAAGCGAAAGTAGCCGCGCTCTGCCTCGCGATCGATATTCACCACAATTTTTTTTCTTTCTAACTTTTGGCAAATTTGTCCGACCTTTGATTGATGGAGGGGGATGTTTGTTTTGCATTGCCTTGAGTAAAAATAAAACGTGGGTCCGAGAAGAAATCGGCCGAAATAGAGAGAAACGACATGTTCACAAGGCGGGATCGAAAACTTGACGAAGTGTGTCCGAATTTCGAGCGCCGGCGAGACAGTTATGAGCCATCGGGTGTTCGAGAGTGGATTAGCCTGGCTCGGGTTCCACGGGGCCTGTTTACAATGGCGCTGCGCTGCCCACCCGGGACACCGGCTTCCGGGTCAAGCTCTGCGCCGATCCTCTTACTCTAATAAAAACCCGCGGCGATGCTTCTCGGCCCAAAGGCTCAGGCTTGCCCCGTGCGTGACTCTGGTTGTACTCGCATGCTGGGCATACTCTGTGTGTGTTGCGTGCTGTGTGTGTGCGTGGTTGTGTGTGTGTGTGTGGTGTGTGTGTGTGTGATGTGTGTGTGTGTGTGTGTGTGTGTGTGTGTGTGTGTGTGCGTGTGTGTGTGGTGTGTGAGAGAGAGAGAGAAAGTAAGCGAGAGAGTAAGTGCGTGTGTGTATGAACACGCTTGTTTGGTGAACCAACATCATTATTAACATCCCACATGAAGTCAAAGAGAAAAATCCAATCTTATCGCCGACTAATGGAATCATAGCATAGCAGTCTCTAAGAACATGATCCCATTAGCGCCCCAAAACAAAACACTGCATTCGCCCTTTTGAATAAACAAAACTTCAAAAAAACCTACGGGGGAAAAAAAAGTCTTCTCCCCCTCCTGGTGTCACTCACTCCCCCTTTTTTCTGCGAGTGTTTCTTTTTCCCAGCCGTCCCTCGTCATATCTGTCTCTCCCCTTTGTTTTTCCTACGCTACTGTCATATATACGTCCCACCAGAAATTTATCATTTTCCCTATTTTGACCATTATTTAGGAACGTGATATTTTCCCCTTTTACCGTTTATCGTTATTCATTTATTTTTTGCACTTTTTTGCACTTTTCTGGAGTCATGGTTTATCTTTCTCTGTCTCTGCCTCTACCTTACCTCTATTTCCGTCTCTATCTATGCCTCAGTCTCTATTCTATCTCTCTGTCTCTATCTATGCCTCAGTCTCTATTCTATCTCTATCTGTCTCTATCTATGCCTCAGTCTCTTTTTCTATCTCTATCTATTTCTATCTCTATTACGAACACACACACGCACACACACACACACACACACACACACACACACACACACACACACACACACACACACACACACACACACAACACACACACACACATTTACAACACACACCACAACACAACTACACACTCACACACACACACATACGCACCACACACACACACACACGCACACACACACGCACACATACAGCACACATACACGCACAAACACACACACATACATAACGCACAAACACACATACATACACACACGACGACGCCAGAGGACACCGTGCAGAGCAGGCGGTTGGTAGGTTGTCATCCTCCAAACGTGGCACTCGTTGAGGTGCCAAGAAGCAACAGCAGTCTCGGGTCACTAGCTCTCGTTTACTCCGCCGGAAGCCCAGTGCCGGGGTCAGAAAGCGGTTTGCAGGGAGGGAGCGAAGGGCGAAGCAGAGGGTGGGGGTGGGGTGGGCTGAAAGGGGGAGGGAGTTGAAGGGGGCGCCGGGTGCCACGCCGCTGTTGACACGCCAGTCGGGTGCCGGGTGTCAAGTCACTCACGACACATTGTATGGATTCGATGTAGCCTGTAGGATACCGTGCCACGAGGCCGTTTCTTTGCAGCGCACTGCTGTCACTGCGTTGTAAACACATATGTTAAGCTGTGCTGCGGCATCGTATGTCACTTCTGGATTATGATATTTGAAAAATTTGCTGAATATTATTACTAGCGATCTTGTTCGAGAATTTTATTTATGTAAGAAATGTTGTTTTCTCTTACTTCTTCTGTAATGCCGCGGTACGAAACATATTTATGGCAAGTAGATTTACGTGGACCGTTCGAAGGATCACGAGCTTTGGGAAAGCTTCAGGTCGCACTGAAAAGACACAGACAACACAGGGGAAACAGAACAGGTGGAGGTGCACTTACCAGCGGGCTGTAGAATGCGGATGAGTCCATGCCGATGGACGGGTAAGGGTTCTGCTCACTGGAGGTGTAGGTGGTGCCGTACACGGTGCCCGAAGCTCCGAGGCCCGAGCCGATTCTTGGGTAGGACCCGAGTGCCAGGCGGTCGTACTGGCACGAGCACACGGACTGGCCACTCACCGGGTCCGTCATGATGGTCCGGCCGCCCTCGCAACATCCGGAACCTGCCGTCCCCCCGCCGCTCTGCCCCACCAGGAGCTGTTGGGAAAACAGCATCTCATTAGTCACGTCACGCCATGACAGGTATTACCAACGCTAAAGCAAAAACTAAAGGCTGTAATCGCAAGAGACACAAAACCCAAAACTACAATTATATATGCTCTTGCCTCACGAGGAGATACATAAACATAAACCACAGCCCTTTACCAGCCGCTTTCAATTCGCTCTAAATAAAATATCATCTAAAGGCACCGTCTTCAGCATTCATTCCTGTGATATATCAGCAATATATCACATGAAAAAGTAACTTACACATGTATAATTAAGAGATCCAATATGTCTTGCAGATATTAGGAATTTATGGAACTGTATCGTAAATATAATCTAGTGTATTGCAAATAGCTCTGAACTTGGCATTAGTGCCATACACTTCAAAACATTCTGAAAAAATATGCCGTAGGCTGAAAGAATGCAAAATCTGGCCAATGTCACACTTAAATTATCAAAGGAAAGTTCTTTTGTTTAGAAAATGCATAAATATAAAATTATATTTCGAAGAAAACATGCCGGCATATCCGCTAGACACATAAAATTCTTGAAATTTCAGTCATAAATTGCAGTCCATTCCCTATTGTTGAGCGCCGGCGCGTTCGCAACCTTACCAGGTTTTTTTAGTGCCCGCATCACAATGCACGTTAAACACAGACTTGATTGGTAATTAAACAACTTAAACAGTCTAAGGTTTTTAAGGCTACTCACAAAACTTTTAGGTTCTCTTCAAATCTAGCTTTAGAGATGCCACACCTTGTTGGGAGCCGAAAGTTACTTAAAAATTTGCATACATTAGAGCCCGAATTAAACCTTCGCCGGGGAAGGAGTGCCACGGGTTGTCAAAAAATTTCTAGCCGCGGGTGAGTTAGGTGGTTTCCTCAGGATCTAGCTTAAGATTGCCAATAAAAAGCGAAAGTACTTAAAAATTTGCATTGTCCAAAAATAAAAGGTTCGCTGAGAGCGGACAGTTCTGCCAGATTCGAATGAATTACACCCGCGCAAGGCGACCACGTTTTCTGCGGTGATATTCTGCTCGCAAGGACACACGCGAGGGAGGGCGCAAGCACCCGACCGACCGACCGACCGACCGCGCCGTCCGGACAGTCCCGAAGGCCCGCGACCACGTTGCCGCCGCCCCGAACACCGGACACACGCCTAGGGAGGGCGAGGCACCCACCGACGACCGACCGACGCGCCTTTCGCCTCTAACACCGACCCCCTTTGATGGATTTGTGAATTGTATTTGTCGTCTTCGCCCTTATCATTTGCCTTCCTGTCGTCCTCATACGGGTGTATTTGTCTAACATCTATATTCATTCAATAAGGTTCTCATTATCATTGTTGCCATAAAGTTTCCCCTTATAGAGCTCCCTTTTAAATCTATTGCCATTACTCATGTCTCTTTTATTTCCCATGTACGGTCTATATGACTACAATATTCGCATCGACCCAATTAGCATTCATTAGACTCGCGCCATGTCTGACTTCTGACTCTTTCCCTATCACACTACTATGTATTCTACTGTCACCTATCTACGGCGTGGATGACATTACGCAAAACAAAACACACAGATAAACCTGAGATAGATTGCTGTTAAAAAAAGTGTTCAAACCAAACCCAAACCCCTATTATTCCGCGTCCAAATAAATAAATCACGACGGAAGCCATTTAGATCGCCATTCTTTTTAGGGAACACTTTCACCCATGGGAAACCCTTCTCCTCCCCTACAAACATGTCTATCGAAAATAAAGGTCGAACATTTGTGGCGATAACGATATCACTCACTAGCCCTCCCTCCCCCCCCCCTTACGCTCATCGCCTAAGAAAAAAAAAAACACAAAAAACAGATTTTAATTCATGCATTAGCGTTCATTTCCTTCATTTGGTCTCATTTTATACATGCGAACGGTCCGTGCCCCTGATACATTAGGTGAGGAGAATGACAAACGTCTTGTCGTAACGTTCTAATGGTCGAATTTCCTGACCATTACCATACCATGTGAGAGGAAGATTTGGCAAAGTCGAGCCAAGAATGTTAAGGTCGTTTTATTAATCATAGAGCCATTTTATTGCCCTCTTACACGTATATTTTATCGTGTGATTCGCTGCAACAGTACGTTATCAAGATAATTTTATGCGTTGAAAACATAAAGTTGTTTCTTATTCACAAAACAGATATAGATTTATTTTCACTGTCATTAATATCATTCTCTTTTGCCTTTGCTTATGACTTTGACGGACGGCGATATACAAAGATGTTTGATAATTAGTGCCTTCTTTGGACATTGTTATTAGATTAAATAACTGTGCTAATTATCATAATTATGGCGATTAATCTCGCTGCCAGGTAGTGCTATAATGGCTGCGATTTTTGTGGACAAATATACACAGAAAATGTACAATAAATCCTGGCAACATGGTTTGGGACAGAAAGTGCTATGCCATAACAACACCATAAAACTCTTATCTGTAGAAAATTTTAACTATTATAAAACAAGGATGACTTTATGTTTTATTTTACAGTTTTATAGTCTTAGTGAGTTCGCGTCCTCTGTTTGTGGCGAGTATAGTATATTTGTCCGTATATATGTTCGTGTGTATGTCAGTGTGTGGCTATGGCTACGTCTGTATGTTCGTGCGTGTTCGCATGCACACTCATGCGTGCGAGAAGACGGTCATGCGTGGGAGTAAGTGTGCACGACTGTATGCGTACCTGTGCGTCTATGTGTGCGTGGGGATGATTAATAATACGGTCAAAGGACGACAACCGTGTAGTATTTGCACAATGTATGTAGTTATGATGCGGTACATTCTCATTACGGTCGGAGCCTCTCTGTCTAAGGATAACGCAGTCGCACCGAGTGTCGCAGAAGTCCGTGACTTTGAGGGCCGCCCGACCTAATTTCCTTTCCAAGCAAAATCCAATTTGCCTTTGAGAAAAAACTGCATTAATTGCTCTGCCTCTGCGCATATTAGTCCCGGCCGCCTTGGCCATAAAAACAAAATAAAAAGCCTCTTGAGTATCAGACAATTTGCGCTTAAATCGCCTTGACTCGCATGCAATATTATTCCAAGATTGAAAGCGCCACCTTTGCAGAGCTGCGCATGAGGCCTAGTCGCAGCCGGGGGCGCTGGCCGGCGGAGCAGGGCGGCTGAGGGCGGAGCGGTCTAAACGGCTGGCGAGTCAGCCCAATAAACTAAGAGGCCACAATAGAAGGAGACCGATACGAGGAACTTGCTTGTTTCAGCCGACTAACGCCGTAGGAGCGGAGACATTTATCTGTGATCGGCTGAGGATATTAATGGGAGGGCAAAGTGAGGTTCGGGCTAGCGCCCCTCGCTGAGTACCGGAACTGCCACCTGGAGCGCTTATGGCTCCTGATTTCTTTGCCGCGAGGCAGGAACAGGAAGCTACAGGCTCGGAGCACAACAATTCGACGTCAACAATCCAAAAGACGACAGCGAAAACACAGTCAGATCCGATTCGCCATAGTCTCAAAAGCGATCGAATCTTCTCGAAGTGGAATCAGAATGCCCGGCAGTCGAGCCGCGTCACTCGGCTCGCGCTTCAATCCTCTTATCACCCGCTGCATCCAGATAATGACACGTCGCAGGTTCGTCGCGGGATTTATATTCCGAGAGGCAGAACGGTTAGATGAATGCATGATGGGGCATCGGAAGGGACGCACGTATGGAAAACATATGAGGAACGTACACACAGACAAACACAAGAAAGGCACAGTCAGAGAATCACAGAATCGCACAAGAAACGTAGATCACACGGGGAACACACAAGCGATAAACACCCAAATAAAACACAAGAAACGCACACATAGAAGGCAGACCAAAAATACACGTCCAGCGAAACACACACAGATCGCACCAACAGAGAACAAAATGGGCAAACACAGAAAAAAACACAAACACAAAAAACGCACACAACGAAAAAAAAAAAAAAAAAAAAAAAGAAATGATTATACGGAAAGTGTTGGCGATTTTTTTCCTAACAATACTCTTCCGATTGGCTATTCAACCATCTCCATCGCTTATGGTAGACTTACGTGAACGGCAAAATATTTTCTCAGATACGACCAATCGTTTTCGGATGACCATCATCAAACAGTTGTCCGCTCTTTTAAAACGACGAATACTGTTGGTGAAATGGTTGTCTAAATAAACGTAATCAATAAAAGCAAAATTATCAATATTAACCAAACGATTTTAATTTCCACATTCGCATGATAAAACATAAATCACACAGGGAACTCACATCAAAACCAGTAAATGTCACTGCCATGTAAATCATTTACGAATGCATGGTCCATCTACTGTGCTAATAATTATGCCTGATATCTTCAAACAGCCTCCATTTTGAAAGAAAACAAATTCATAAAATTCGCCGCCGTTTGTCACGACCTGGTGGGGTTTCCCCAAAATATTTTTTTAGCTGTGTATATATATATATATGTGTGTGTGTGTGTGTGTTTGTGTGTGTGGATATATCTCTATATACACACAAAAGGAATCATAACCCCTGTACGGAATGAATAACTTCAAGGCCATATACCTGAAATGGATTATCAATCCACTTGCTTCGTCTGATGAGGAGTTCTTAGCGAGTTCGAAACGTTACGTTCATATTCAATTATATATATACATATATATGTGTGTCTGTGTAAAAATATAATACGATAAATATACTATACACATTGATAAACAGATGGATAGATATGATTGGTAGATATATAGACAAGCAGAATGATAGATGGGAGAGTTGCTGGGTGACTGGATATGTGGACGGTCGGACGAATGGACGGACGGATAGACAGGTATATATATATATATATATATATAATATATATATATATATATATATATATATATATATATATATATATACATGTATACATCCATGTATACATACATGCATATACACGTACATATATATGTGTGTGTGTATGTATGTGTGTGTGTGTGTAAATATAT